TCATTTGGTTCTTGAGCTGAGGAATTTTTTCTTATCTAGTAGAAGACTGGGTCCCTTCTTGACTAAGCAATGACATGTATCTGGGCATTGTCTATTTGGCTGAACTCAACCCTGAGAGCTCAGTGGCTCAGCTTTGTCTTCACGTGGGTGCTTGGGTCCTGTGAGCTGCCCCCCGGGTGTTGACTCTGCAGTCTGAAGTCTTGGTGTTGTCGGTGGCCCTAGGGCACTTTCCAGCTTTCCCTCTGGTTTTTTTTTTCCTTTATCCTCCAATGCCATGCTTTCCTGGCACTGTGTTTGTTTTACCATTCCAACTAAACATTATGTTTCTTTAGGCCTGGATGCCTTTGTTCCCTGCAGCCCAGCCATCATTTTCCTAGTTTGAGCTTCAGGATACCAGTTAAAGAAGCCCTCAGAAGCCGGGCACTGGTGGCTCATGCCTGTCATCCTAGCTACTCAGGAGGCTGAGGTTTGAGGATCGAGGTTCAAAGCCAGCCGGGGCAGGAAAGTCCATGAGACTTGTACCCCTTGAACTTTTCTGCTCAAGGATAGCACTCTACCACTTGAGCCACAGCCCCACCTTTGGATTTTTGCTGGTTAATCAGAGATAAGAATCTTGAACCCTGATCCTCCACCAAATTCCAGCCTTCTGAGGATTACAGGCACGGGCCTCCAGTGCGGGGTGTGGGCTGGTGATAGACTGCATGCAGGACAGTAGGCCGAGGGAGCAAACCCCAGGCGGGGTCTGAGCTCTGTTCTTTGTCCCTGCTGGCTGCAGCCCAAGTTTAGAGATACTGACCCAGGCATACGGCAGGGCGGGGCCAGTCTGTCCTCCAGCAGCCAGTGCATCTGGGAGAGGAGAGGAGAGGAGCACGAGACCTGGTGCTCCCTGGGCTTCCACCCCCTCCCCTGGGCTGGAGCACAGTTACAGCTCTGCCCAGGTCGCTGCAGCCCACAGATCCCTGGCTGGAAACCACCTGGCTCATAAACGGTGTTTTAGGAGCAATTGGAAATGGAATATTTTATTACTGTCATAAACTGTATACAGCTGTATCTTTTCTCAATTGGCATTGTTTTGTTTCATTTTCAGTTGATTTTTTTGCAGGGGGGGAGGGAACAGGGATCTCAGGGCCTGGGCACTGTCCTTTAGCTTTTTTTGCTGAAGGCTGATGCTCTACCCTTTGAGCCATAGCTTGACTTCCAACTTTTTGCTAGCTAGTTGTAGATAAGAGTGTCAGACTTTTCTGCGCAGGCTGGATTTGAGCCTCGAGTATCTGGGATTACAGGAGTGAGCACCAGTGCCTGGCTTGTTTGTTTTCTGCTGTGCTGGAGGTTGGGGCTTGGGCTGTGCTTTGTCACTGAGCCAGTAGAAAATACCCACCCCTAAGGGTTTTTGTTTTGTTTGGTTTTGTGTGTTGCTTTAAGGGTGAAAGGCTTTCTTTCCACTGGCAGTAGGAATGGCAGCGTTGCAAATGTTCAATAGGAGGAGTGAGGGCTTTGCCCGCACTCCTGCCTTGGGTGCTGGGACTGTGCAGAACTCCCAGGCCCCATGTCTTTGCTGACAGTACCCAGAACCCAGTACCCTAGGCAACCTGCGAGCCCAGCTTCCTGCCGGGTGGCGCTTGCCAAATTGAGTTCCGAGATGCTCTTGGCTGTCGTGCGCTGCCTCATGGGGCAGTTCTTCCACCCACCCCTCACCCGAGCCAGCTAGCCTAAAGCTTTGGTTTTAGGTTTTTGCACACTGTCAGTTTTTTTGACAACCAGAATCTCACAGGGCCTCTGGGGTGCTTTGGTGATTGTGCCAGGAGTGGATGCAGTATTAGGAAGGGGAGACTGAGGCAGACGCATGCCGGCTGCCTTAGCGCCATCCCCAGGGCTGGATTTGAGCAGGCGTGGTAAGGAGGGGTGAGGATACGCCCCTCCCTCCCTGAGGGCCCCAACCCCTTCCAAGCCTGCCCCCTGCCCCAAGGCCAGGGGTGCATTGATCCATGGGTCTCAGGCGGTTGACAAGACTCCATTCAGGGTGGCGTGGAAGCTCTTCTCCCCACAAAGCCCGTGTGCCCACCATCTTAGCTGCTGTTTTGGGGGAACTTTTCTTAGCTGTCACTCACCATTCCTCTGTAGGGGATTCATTACCGAGGAAGAGGAAGCAGCAAGTTCCCCTCTGGATGCTCTCAGGAACGTTTGAACGTGGGCCTTTACATGTCTTTCCCTTCCTCCTGCCCAGAACTTTGCATCTGTGGGGCCTCTTACCTCGCTCCAGTGCAGTGATAGCGGAGTTCTAGGCTGTAGAATCCCCAGGAAGCCCAATGAGGTCACGGTGGGGGCCTGAGTGGAGTGGCCACCCAGGACCAGCCACCGCCCTGCCACCAGGCTGTGACTTCCCTGTTCTTAAATTAGAATGGAAAATCCAGTGATGACCCAGGACCAGGCCTCCTGCGACTTCACCCCTGGTGCTGTGGAGGGTGGGATCCTGGCCCCCTGGTCGCTCCTAGTGGCCAGCGCAGGCGTGACGGGCACCAATGAGTGGGAAGGTCACTGGAGGTCATGGAAATCAAGGAAGCCCCATTTTTGGCGTCCTTTTGCCATGGATGGACGTCCCTGAGTGTCTTTAAAGCAAATAGAAACAGTTGTATGACCCGATCTTACCAGCTCCCTGTCCCGCACCCTGTCCTCTCCTCACACAGACGCAAGACTTGCACCAGGGAGAATCTGATGGGAACTTAAATATCACTGCACCGCCCCCACCCCACGCACATCCAGATAAATTAGTATGATGTTACCGTTTCATTAGTGGAGGACTGAACCGCGTGAGCAGCCTATTTCTGGACAAACATTACCTAGTGAGAAAACTGATGTGAAGGAAAGGAAGTCTCTCTCACGTTGATGCTTCCTGTATCCCTCTCGTCTGCCTTCCCTAGCAGGAGTTACTTAAAAGTTTGTTAGGGGCCCTGGATTCCCAGCTAACCTGACCAGTGGTAGCTGCAAAGTCACCAGGCATATATTTAACAAGTGGTGATAATGTTTGACTGTGCAAGGCTTAGCTGCTCAGTAATTCTGTCTGTCTCTCTCCCTCCCTATCTCCCTTTACCCTTCTCCCCCTCTCCTCCCCCCTTTCTAAACAAAAGCATTCAGAATGTGCAGATGGAGAGACAGAGGTCTTACCTCTGATTTTCATTTAACAGTCACCTTACTTAAAAACTTGTGAAGCTATATTTTAATGAAGCACTGGTGGTTCACCCACATACTCATATACCCTTAGCTACTCGGGAAGTTGAAATCGGAGGCTCACTGTTTGAAGCTAGCCTGCACAGAAAAGTTCTTGAGACTCTTAATTAACCAGCCAAAAAACTGGAAGTAGAGGTGTGGCTCATGTAGTAGAATGCCAGCCTTGAGCGAAAAAACCTGAATCCTGAGTTCAAGCCCTAATACTAGTACAAAGACAAATCAATAGAAATTGGCATGTGTTTTATAGCGATTCTAAGTAATTGTGCTTCCCCAAGAAGTGTGTGGAAGACATCCTGCAGGAGACCGTAGTTCCTCTTTAGGAAGAGCCCTGTTTAGCTTGGGGTTTTTTCTAATTCTCTTGCTTTTATTGTGTTGCGTATTGATTGCTTTTCATTTTCACTTGAACCCCAAGAGCGGCACAGTTAGGACGTTTGCCAGTGCGGTTGCACCATGGCAGAGAGAACATCAGGAATGTGGACTATCTTTAGGCCTGCTCCTTTCTGGACAGATAAGAGGAAAACCCCCACCTTACTCTCCCATGAGACAGCACCGGTCCCAGCGCCAGCAGCCACAGAGCTGAGTGGTATGGTCAACACTCACCTCCAACACGAATAGCGTCCCATCTCTGAGTGACCAGTGAGAGGAGGGTTTTCTCTGGGAGTCTTGAGTTCAAATCAATGTTGTCTTGCAGCTGTAGGGGTTGTGACTGTTGCATATCGCTTTGGGGGCTGGTTTGCACGTCAGCACCGCACAGTGCTGTCTGGACACGTGTTCCTAAGCGTTGCTGTAGGCACTCTTGATGTACCTCTGGAAGCCAGAAATGGCTGAGAGCCACATGTGAAGACAATTGCTGATACCACCTTGTATCCCTCCAAGCTAGCTGGGGGAGGAGCCTGGGATCAGGGGCCTGGTCCCCCAACTTGACTTTGGGACCGAGTTCGGCTTCATGGAGATAAGCTCAGGCATCTTAAATCAGGCTGGGGGAGTGGAGTTATCTAAATTTAAAGTAAGGAGGCAACATTTGCTCTAAAAATGCTCTCAAAATTCTTGTGGCTCTGGAGAGGCGTGGGTGGATCCTGTGAATTGCACAGCGAGGCACATGCTCTTCTGACATCTTGCCTAAGTCAAAACATTTCCAGCGACTTTCATTTGGAAAGATTTTAGGGACTCCCATTTTTTGTGTGGTGTGTGTAGGGTGGGGGGTGGTTCTTGAAGAATTTTAGGGTCTCTAAGCTCATCCAAGAAGATGAACTGGTCAGTCTCATTGCAACAACACATGATGTGCTTGCAATGAGCATTTACTCCTTCCCCAAAGTGCAGAGTTTGTGTCTGTGTGCTTCTGAAGGGGAAACAAACTTAAGAGTTACTGACTTACTGGAGGAACGCTGGCCTGTGTTGGAGCCAAGATGTGCAAGCTGTGTGAGCAGGGGGCACACAGGAAGAGCAAGTCTGCGCCTGGCAAGGATGGTTTGATCCTCTTGGTGTGAACATGGGAGGGTACGGGACAGGGATCTGTGCCCACACGGCTTGTCTCGTGCTCTGCTCATGGGAGTGAGGCTGGCTGAGGCCTGCCTCTACCGAGGGCGGGATCTGTGCTCACAGCTTGGTGTGGTGTATGGCATAAATGTGAATGTGTGCATAAGGGCTGTCCCCATATTACACTCTGTGACCCTTCCAGATAGCTGCTGTCCCTAAAGCCACCTTGACCCCAGAAAACCTTCAGTTTCCGTAGCTGTGCAGAGCTCATGGCCTTTGTTTCCCATGTTCTCTCGTAGGCTGGACGTGATAAATATGAACCCGCTGCCATTTCTGAACATGGAGACAAAAAGGGGAAAAAGGCCAAGAAAGACAGGGACATGGATGAACTTAAGAAGGAAGTTTCTATGGTACGTACTGCAGTGTGTGTGTGTGGGGGGGGGGGGGGGGGAGAGGGAGAGAGAGATTTTGCTTTAAAAAAATAATTGCAGATGCCGGGCGCTGGTGGCTCACGCCTGTAATCCTAGCTACTCAGGAGGCTGAGATCTGAGGATCGTGGTTCAAAGCCAGCCCGGGCAGGAGAGACCACGAAACTCCTATCTCCAATAAACCACTAGAAAACCGGAAGTGGCGCTGTAGCTCAAGTGGTAGAGCGCTCGCCTTGAGCTGAAGAGCTGAGGAACAGCGCCCAGGCCCAGAGTTCAAGCCCCACGACCGACCAAAAAAAAAAAAAATTGCAGAAAACCCAAGAGAGTCTTTAATTCCAAATAACAAGCAACATGCAGAAATGAGCTGTGGTTCAAGTGGTAGAGCACCAGCGTTGAGCAAAAAAGCCAAGCAAGATCCCAAGGCCCAGAGTTCAAGTCCCAGGATTGACACACAGTGATGCTAGAGAGTTGTTAGTTTTTTCTTTGCACTGGCTTCACCAGAGGCTTGCAGAAAGAGCTGAGGCAGATGTTCTCTGGATTCAAATCACCTGGGCAAGCCAGGTGCTGGCAGCTCCCACCTGACATCCTAGCTGCACAGGAGGCTGAGATCTAAGGATTGCAATTCAAAGCCAGCAGGGCAGGAAAGTCTGTGACTCTTACCAGTTAACCACTCAAAAAACAGAAGTGGTAGAGTACCAACCTTGAGCAAAAAGAGTTCGGGGACAGTGCCCAGGCCCTGAGTTCAAGCCCCATAACCAAAAAACCTACCTGGGCAGAGAGGCCCCTCCCTCCTGACTGAGGTCACTAAGTGCCTGGGGTTTCTATGACTTAGTGTGGCAGCACCCATTAGCCACCCCTGACAGAAAACTCCGGGAAATGGTGTGAGCTGTTGGACAACTGTGGAGAACAGACCAGTCAGGACACCTGGTGTGGATGGAGTTTTTGTTCTTTTTAATGTTACAGTATTTCATTGTTTCTGTTGCCCCTTAGGATGACCATAAACTTAGCCTGGATGAGCTCCACCGGAAGTATGGAACAGACTTGAGCCGAGTATGTTCTCCTTTGAAACTCTGCACCCAATCTCACGTTGCCTCCATGTCCCCTCAGATCTGCCCTGGGGGCCGCTGGGGGGCCCTAGAGACAGCCACCATCTGAGTGTCTTACCAGGGACAGTGCACCTGGCCTGCGCTTTCATGGGGACTCCCGAGCAGGCGTCTCCCTGTCACATTTCTGAGGTGGTCAAGTTGTCTCCAAGATCACCTATCTCCCCTGGGGATAATGGAGGCGCTCCCTTTAGTCGGTTGAGTCTTCAGCAGTCATTTCTTCATATGTTTCCCGGCCTGGCTCACTGCTGTGTGTCGGAACCTTGGTGGTTGAATCATTTACTTAAAACCTTTGTGTAAAATCCAGAGGCGCTGAATGCTGGCGGCTCATACCTGTAACCCTAACAACCCGGGAGAGATGGGGGATAGGCTTCAAAGCCAGCCCCGACAGGAGAGTCCGAGACGCCAGCTAACCACCAGATAACCACAAGTGGTGCCTGTGGCTCAAAGTGGCTCAAAGTGGTAGAGCGTTAGCCTTGAACAGAAAAGCTCAGGGACAGCACCCAGGCCCTGAGTTTATTTGTGGGGGAGTTTGAGCTTATCAGACCTGTGGAGGCAGAGCATCATGGGAGTTGTGCACCTAGGAACCCACTGGTGCTTCCTTGGCTCTACAGCTCAGGACACCCTTTATTACTGGTTTTGTTTGGTTGTAATTGCTGAGTAGTAGCTTGTGAACACAGCCAGCCTCGGTCTTGTGTATTTTCCTCAGGGCTTAACAACTGCACGCGCCGCTGAGATTCTGGCCAGGGACGGCCCCAACGCCCTCACCCCCCCGCCCACCACCCCCGAGTGGGTTAAGTTTTGCCGGCAGCTCTTTGGGGGCTTCTCCATGTTGCTGTGGATCGGGGCGATCCTTTGTTTCTTGGCTTACGGCATCCAGGCTGCTACGGAAGAGGAGCCTCAGAATGATAACGTGAGCCACGTCGTGGTGGCATGGGTTGGCGGGCGCGTAGGGCCCCTCAGCCTCTGCCCCTGCTTCTCCTCCACATGGGGTGTCTTTTCCTCTTCTCTTCTGGTCAATCTCCTTTTTGGAAGCTTTGATCTTGCTTGCATACCTGGTTTTTCTCAGCCAGGAAGCACCTGAATGCTTGATCTCTGTCCTGAGTCCTGAGGTCTAGCTCTCCCCTCCCCCAGCTCTGTCTCTGTAACTCCCCCCCCCCCCCCCCCCGCCTTTCCTCCCCCATCCCCCAGCTATATTACTAACTCTCCCTTCTCCTGGCTGTATTCTAACTGTCCTTCCCCCACAGCTGTATCTTGGCGTGGTACTCTCCGCGGTGGTCATCATAACTGGTTGCTTCTCCTACTACCAAGAAGCCAAAAGCTCAAAGATAATGGAGTCCTTCAAAAACATGGTCCCTCAGGTACTTGTCACAGTGGTTCTCCTTCCTTTCCACTCTCAAAATGAGAAATAATGTGGGGTTGCAGTTTTCTAAATTTTAGTCTGGGCACCAGTGTAATCTCAGCTACTCAGGGCACTAAGATCTGGAGGATTGTGGTTCAGAGCTAACCTGGGCAGGGAAGTCTGTGAGACTCCAGTTGACCAGCAAAAGGCTAGAAGTGGCAGAGCTCCAGCCTTGAGCTTTTGAAAAGCCAAGTGAGCATGAGGCCCTGAAGTCAAGAACCAGTACCACACCGGAAAAGAAATGTGCCAGCCAAACACAGAGCAAGCACAGTAAGAAAAGTAACTTAAGTAAGTTGAGCAGCCTTTTATGTCTGGTCAGAAGCTGAGCGCTGTCTTATCTGTGCACACTTTATAACTAGTAGGTCACCGGTCTTCTGGTTCTCTTGAGCTGCACGCTTTCCTCGGCACCCATTGAACGGTGTAAAATGCTTCTCCTTCCACAGCAAGCCCTGGTGATTCGCAATGGGGAGAAAATGAGCATCAATGCGGAGGAGGTTGTCGTTGGGGACCTGGTGGAGGTGAAGGGCGGAGACCGCATCCCTGCAGACCTCAGAATCATATCTGCAAACGGCTGCAAGGTAGATTTTGAGCAGAGCCGCTCGCGGCCCAGGCAGTGCTGGAGGTGCCACAGCCTTACCTCCCTGCTGGTCCCCACAGGTGGACAACTCCTCCCTCACCGGCGAGTCGGAGCCGCAGACGAGGTCTCCGGACTTCACCAACGAGAACCCCCTGGAGACGAGGAACATTGCCTTCTTTTCTACCAACTGCGTGGAAGGTAGGGCACTCCCAGCAGGGCCTGGCCCTTCTCATGGGCCATGTGGCTGTTTGCTCTGCGCAGCATGGAGGTGGGTGCGGTCCGGCTGTCCATCCACTCTCCCCTCCCACACCAGGCCTGCCCAGCATGTGGGGCTGGCCTGCCACTGCACACACGTGCCGGCATCCCTTTGCCGGTATGAGACTGCACATGGCAGCCATGCCCTGCTGTGCCCCCAGGCACCGCCCGTGGCATTGTGGTGTATACCGGGGACCGCACGGTGATGGGGAGGATCGCCACACTGGCTTCGGGGCTGGAAGGCGGCCAGACCCCCATCGCCGCTGAAATCGAGCACTTCATCCACCTCATTACGGGCGTGGCCGTGTTCCTGGGGGTGTCCTTCTTCATCCTGTCCCTCATCCTCGAGTACACCTGGCTGGAGGCCGTTATCTTCCTCATCGGCATCATCGTGGCCAATGTGCCGGAAGGCCTGCTGGCTACTGTCACGGTGAGCGGCTTGGGAGGAGCCTGGCGCAGTGGCTCACACCTGTGATCCTAGCTGCTTGGGAGGCTGAGGTGGGAGGCTCCAAGTTGGAAGGAAGCCAGCTCAGCAGGTATGTCTGGGAGACTATCTGCACTCAACCACAAGCTGGACTTAGAGCTGTGACTCAAGTGGTAGAGCACTGGCCTTGCCTGAAAAAGCCAAGAGAAAGGATGAGGCCCTGAGCTCAAACCTCAGGATGGACACCAAATAAAAGCCTGGCTCAGAAGGTGGTGGGTCATGCAGCAGAATGGGCAGGGGATAGAATGGGCAGAGTCGTGCCTAGTGTTATTTTTCTTGGCAGCACCCACTGGAAGTGCAGGAGCCCCATGTCTGTGGCCCTCATGTGTACTCAGATCTCAGAGAAGGCTGGACAGAGGGAGAGTTAGGGTCAGGTTTAGCAGGAGTTGGTAGAATGGCAATCTGAGTGGCACCATGGGGTTCCAGGTCTGTCTGACGCTGACCGCCAAGCGCATGGCTCGAAAGAACTGCTTAGTGAAGAACCTGGAGGCCGTGGAGACTCTGGGCTCCACCTCCACCATCTGCTCCGACAAGACCGGAACCCTGACCCAGAACCGGATGACAGTGGCCCACATGTGGTTCGACAATCAGATCCACGAGGCTGATACAACTGAGAACCAGAGCGGTAAGCACCACCTACCCACCCACCTCAGAGGCTCTCTTAATTTCCACCATTTGTCAAAAAATGCTGAGGTTAATAGAGAAACCCATCTTGCACATATGGACTGGAATTAGTTTTATTAAGTAAGATACCAGCGGGTGCTGGTGGCTCACACCTGGAATCCTAGATGCTCAGGAGGCTGATCTCTGAGGATCATGATTGAAATTCAGGCTGGGCAAAGACAGTAGAGGTGTGGTTTAAGTAGTAGTAGAGTACTAGTCTTGAACAGAACGCTAAGGGGACAGCACCCAGGCCCTGAGTTCAAGACTTGGTACTGTCACAATAAATTAAACGAACAAATACATTAATAACGTTGGAGCTTGTGGTGGGACTAGAAGAACTATGAACGCAGCGTCGTGTTGAGTTAATGTGTCCTTGTCTGTCTTGATCTGTCGCCTCCAGGTGTCTCTTTCGACAAGACCTCAGCCACCTGGCTTGCTCTGTCCAGAATTGCAGGTCTTTGTAACAGAGCTGTGTTCCAGGCTAACCAGGAAAACCTCCCCATCCTTAAGGTACGCTCCAGAGCCCCTCAAACACTGCCATCAGGACTGGGATTTGAACTCAGGATCTCTCCAGTTAGGCCACACTGCCCCCCCTACCCCCAGCCCCACCGAGCTTTGCTTCAGATAGCACCCTGCTCGCGTGACAGGTTCCCTGTGTGTAGAATTGTCTTGCCTACATCTTTCAGTGTGCCATGGGAGATGAAGGAGAAATTTGTCCCAAGCCAGGTCCAGGCCAGAGAAGTGACAGTTCTTGTGTGGGGGACAGACTGGTCAGACCGGTTTTACTCAGCTGCCTTCTTAGGCATCAATAAACACTGTGGCCAGACAGGGCTGCTTGGCTGCATGATCACATTTGCATGTCAGGCTACACTGTCAGGCCACTGGTTTTCTTAAAACAGCCCAGAAGTTTCTCTTATTTGTCTCTAGCTTGTTTATTAATGATGCGAAAATAAGATTGTAGCAGAAAGCATCGCAGCCTCTTGTAATCCTCCCACAGTCTGAAATGACTGTGATTTGGCTGCGTTGCCCAAGTGGAGTGGTCCTTCCAGATAGAACGTAGAACATTCCAGAAGGACAGAGTAATGTAGGCCCACTGAGCTCTGAGCCCCTATTGGGCCCCACTCCCGCCCTGCCAGGCCTACTGACCTGGTACTTGGCTCATACCAAACTTCCAGGGCACGTGCAGACGGGTGGTCATGGAGATGCCAACTTGCTTGATCTCACACATGGTTGTCTTGGCCTCGGATCAGTGTTGATTTAAAGATAATGTTGTTTATCTTGGGTGGGGGGAGGGGGTTAGATATGACGTGTCTGCTCCATGTTTCTCCTTACTTCAAAATGGAAGTTTTCCAATCTTTGAGACTTTACCAGGCACTGGGAGCTCACGCCTGTAACCCTCACAGCTCGGGAGACTGGTATCTGAGGATCATGGTTCAAAGCCAGCTCAGGCAGGAAAATCCATGTGACTTTTCTCGCCAATTAACTACCAAAAATCCAGAGTTGTGGCTCAAGTTTTAGGAGCCCCAGCCTTGAGCTAAGACTATAAACAGGACGGTGCCCTGGCCCTGGGTTCATGTCCTAATACTGGCTTACACAACTCCATTTATTTCGTGGGTTGCTGTCTGGTGTGTGTCCTCGCAGGGGTGACCTAGTATTCAGACTGCATGCACGTGTGTGCACCGGCCGCGATCTCAGGCTGCCCCCGCTTCACACCAATGACGTCCTCCGTCCCGGCTGCTTTGTCTAGTAGCTGCTCTGCTTTGCCCAGTCCCGGGGCCCTGAGCTGCTCTCTTCCCATTCTTAGGCAGTGAGCGCAGGAGACTATGGAGTTTACTCTGTGGTGGGGTCTCAGCCAGCCAAGTGTGCAGCCGAGAATCCCCTTTGGTTTGCAGAAGTGATTCTGGGGGGATAGCAGCCGGAGGAGGTGGGTGGGAGGTGGGCACCGCCTAGGGCGGAGGAAGCTGGGCTGTCTGGGATGGTGGAATGGATTCCTCGCTCGGCAGTACCTGGGGGTGGGGTGTCCGTGACCAACAGCTGGTGTGTCTGTCTCCAGCGTGCAGTTGCAGGGGACGCCTCGGAGTCGGCGCTCCTCAAGTGCATCGAGGTGTGCTGCGGCTCGGTGAAGGAGATGCGGGAGAGGTACACCAAGATCGTGGAGATCCCCTTCAACTCCACCAACAAGTACCAGGTGTGCGGCGCCTTCCCCCACAGTGGCGGCTGCTGCTCAAGATGAGTCTCTACTGAACAGTGCTCAGCCCTTGTAAATGGTTTGGGGGTGGGGGACACACATGCACAAGTGTGAGCCCATCCCTTGTTCACGCACAGCCATATGGGAAGGCGGGCGCTGGTGGCTCCTGCCTGTCATCCTAGCTACATAGGAAGCTGAGATCTGAGGATCACCGTTCAGACAGAAAAGTCTGAGATGAGACTCATCTCCAATTAACCTGCACATGAAAACAGCTCCAAGTGGAGCAGTGGCTCAAGTGGTAGAGCACCAGGGCTTGAGTGAGAAAGCTAAAGGACAGCGTCCAGGCCCCAAGTTCAAGCCCCAGTAACTGGCACCCAAAAATAAATCGTTGGGGTTCACTGGGGAGCTTCGAGGGTGTGTTCCCAGGCCTCTCCATGTGTTTTGTCAGCTCATCGTAGCGTTCACGTCCAGCAAGGCAGGCAGTCCTGGCATATGCGGTGCCAGGTGACCAGTGGGTGCAGCCGCCCAGTGACCCCCTCCTGTGACTCTTCCAGCTGTCCATCCACAAGAACGCCAATACAGCCGAGCCACGGCACCTGCTGGTGATGAAAGGTGCCCCAGAAAGGATCTTGGACCGCTGCAGCACCATCCTCCTCCAGGGCAAGGAGCAGCCCCTGGATGAGGAGTTGAAGGATGCCTTCCAGAATGCCTACCTGGAGCTGGGCGGCCTTGGGGAGCGCGTGCTGGGTACGCTGGGCCCCTGGTGGGGTTGCGCCTGGTCCCATGGGCCTTCCTCTCGCCTGCAGGGGAAATGCTTTCTTTGCTGCCTATTTTGAAATCAGTGCTGGAGAAATGTTTGTGCCCTGGGCCCTGGGAAGCCATCCTGGAGATTGTGATTCAGACTCCTTAGATCCAGGGTCTTCCAGGGCACCAGTGGGATCATGGTTCAGAGTCACTTCAGGAAGAAGGGTCTGTGAGGCTTACCTCCAGTTAGCCAGCAGGAAGCCATCAGGGTTGTGTTTCATGTGGTCAAGTAGTAGCCTTGAGGGGGAAAAGCCCAAGTACAAGGCCTTGAGTTCCAGCCCCTGCAGACACCTGTTGTTCAGGCCACAGCCTGCCCTGCCTCTTAACCCAGCTAACTCTTGGTGTCTGGAGCCACGCCTTTCCTCTGCTGTCCTTAGAGCCAGAGCTCTGCTCACCCAGCCTCGAGGGAGGAGCACACCTCCTCTCCGCCACTTCACCTACTTGAAAGTTCATCTTCCACTGTCCAGTGCACTTGGGAATTTGGCCTTTGTGTAATATGTTGTGGGTTGAATACAAATCATGGATAGTTCTTCCTATTCCCGTTAGCTGAAGGCAGTCAGAACCGGTTGTTCCCAGACTGAGTCACAGCTTTCCCCAACATCTGACCCCAAGCGTCTGTCTGTCCATCCATCCATCCGTCTGTCTGTCTGCCAGAGGCCGCTGCCCCCCTGCAGTCATGCTGCCTTCTCCACCCACGTTAAAGCGGCCTCTTGGCACATGTTAATAGCTCGTGCCTGTAACTTTGACTGCTCAGGAGGCCGAGATCTGAGGGTCATGGTTCAAAGCCAGCTCAGGCAGTCAAATCTGTAGGACACTTCGTCTCCAGTGAGCCAGTGAAAAGCCAGAAATAGACCTGGCTCAACTGGTAGAGCATCGCCCTTGAGTGAGGGCTAAGGGAGAGCACCCAGCCAGGCCTTAAGTGACCTCAGGGCACATGGAAGGAGTGGCCTGACAGTCCTGAGTGTTGGGGGGGGGGGGCGGTGACAGGCGCTCCACAGAGCATCTGGTCTGCGCTTGCCTCTGAGGAGGCATTTGCTCATAGAAAATGCAGAATTGCAGAGGCCTGGCCTTGCATGAAGTGCAGCTCCGGGCAGACGTGCCTGGCGGGCGCTGCTCCGGCCACATCGCGGTTACACTGCACACTTCTTGCTCCTTGGTCAGGCGAGGAAATGAATTCTATCTTTCAGATGCCACTTACCTTAATACCCAGGGTCTTGTTACGACCAAGGATGGCCTCGACAATCCTTGAGCCTCAGCCTCCTGGAGGCTGGATCATATCCTGTTCACAAAACTAGACTTGAGACATGTGTTAGTACTCAGGCTTGAACTTGGGGCCTCATGCTCTTGCTTGACTTTACCTGGAGGCCAGCACTCTACCACTAGAACCACACTTGAACTTGGGGCCTCATGCTCTTGCTTGACTTTACCTGGAGGCCAGCACTCTACCACTAGAACCACACCTCCATCTCTAGCTTTTGGCTGCTTAATTGGAAATGAGAGTTTCACTCACTTTGCTGCCCAGGCTGGCTTGGAACCATGATCCTCAGATCTCAGCCTCCCAAGTAACTAGGATTATTAGGCATGAGCCACCAGTGCCTGACTGTCAAAACTACACACTTGTAAAAGAATATTCCAGATAAAAGTGGCACATGGAGCCGGGTGGCGAGTGGGCTCTGCCCGCCTCACGTGGCCCCCCCCTCCTCCTCCTAGGTTTCTGCCACCTTCTTCTGCCAGATGAGCAGTTTCCCGAGGGGTTCCAGTTTGACACAGATGAAGTGAATTTCCCCGTGGATAATCTCTGCTTTGTGGGGCTCATCTCTATGATCGACCCTCCCCGGGCAGCTGTTCCTGATGCCGTGGGCAAGTGCCGAAGCGCTGGGATTAAGGTAAGGCGCCCGCAGTCTCCATTGCTAGATTCATCTTGCAGGGATATGGGGTGGCACCCAGGTCCAGGTTCTGGCTCACTCTCATTTCTTGCTTTACTTGATCAGTTAGTACTAGGAGTTGAATAGCTAATGGGGAAGGAGCATCTCTACTTTTTTTGGGGGGGGAGGCGGTCACGGGGTCTGAACTCTGGGCCTGGGTGCTGTCCCTCAGCTCTTCAGCTCAAGGCTAGAGCTCTACCACTTGAGCCACAGCAGTATTTCCGGCTTTTTTCTTTTTGCTTATGTGGTGCTGAGGAATCTCATAGGGCCTCATGCATGCAAGGCAAGCACTCTACCACTGATCCACCTTCCCAGCCCTGCATCTCTACTTTTTAACTAAAGAAATATAAAGTACGGCTGGGAATGTGGGCTCAGTGGCAGAGTGCTTGCCTTGCATGCATGAAGCCCTGGGTTTGATTCCTTAGCACCATATACACAGAAAAAGCCAGAAGTGGCGCCGTAGCTCAAGTGGTAGAACACTAGCCTTGAGCACAGAGAGGTTCAAGGGTCGGTGCCCAGGCCCTGAGTTCAAACCCCATAACCAGTGACCAGCACCAAAAAAAATCTTGTGTAAAAGATTTGTGTTTTTCCTTCACATTACGGTCCCTAAAGATCAGGCCAGTATAGAAAAACACAGCCTACCATAATCAGACCTTTTTTTTCTTTGTCAATTTTACAAAGTATATGTATTGATAAAAGAAAAATAGACACTATGTGTGCCACTTACTGTCCTCATGAATAAGGATAAAATCTGAGTGTTGCTTGTATGGGCATTTGATTTCACAAGCGGATGCTTCTCATTACTACTAGTGTTCTTTTCCTCTGGTGTTCCGGGCTGAAGAGCCCGGTATGTGCATGTGATCATCTTGTGTGTGGCCATTGGCTTGGAGGCCGCCTCAATATCATCCCTCCCAACAGGTCATCATGGTGACAGGAGACCATCCAATCACAGCCAAAGCCATTGCCAAAGGTGTGGGCATCATCTCAGAGGGCAACGAGACGGTGGAAGACATCGCTGCGCGCCTCAACATCCCAGTGAACCAGGTGAACCCCAGGTACGGCCGGCTGGGAGCTCTGGTGGCAGAATCACAGGTTCTGGGATGGATTTGTTCTGGGCCTACTCCCCAGGCCAGAACACACCTGCCTTGCAGGCTTGTGGAGGAGCAGAAATGGGGGTGATTCTGGTTTGCTTCTGGGAAGCTGGGGTTCACAGAGGCTCAGGTGCCCCAGAGCCAGTGAAAGTCAGGAGGCACTCTTGAGGCAGTGATCTGGGGGTCTTCTGTGTGTGTGTGCTGTTACTGGGGCTTGCACTCAGGTCTGGCAGCTGCCCTTGAACTTTTTCACTCAACATTGTACTCTACCACTTGAGCCACACCTCCACATGCGGCTTTTTGCTGATTAATTGGAGATAAGAGTCTCACCAACTTTTCTTGCCCAGGCTGGCATTGAACTGCTGTTCTTAGCTCTCAGCCTCCTGAGTAGCTGGGATGGTGGGTGTGAGCCACGGCCCCCAGCTTCCAGTGAGTGTCCTGTGTCGCGCACCCCCTTGAGGGGACAGCATGCTGGTGGCGTGGCGGATGGCTGCCTATTCATTTTCTTCTTGGTTCCTGACTTCAGAGACGCCAAGGCCTGCGTGGTTCATGGCAGCGATCTGAAGGACATGACCTCTGAGCAGCTGGACGACATCTTGAAGTACCACACGGAGATCGTGTTTGCCAGGACCTCACCCCAACAGAAGCTCATCATCGTGGAAGGCTGCCAGCGCCAGGTCAGTGAGCAAGAGGCGAGGAGGCTGTCTCCACTGGAAGTGGAGGTGTGGCTCACCCGGTAGAGCACCATCAGCCTTAGAGTGAAAAACCTGAGAGCTTGAACCTGAGCTCAAGCCCCAGTACCAACCAAAGGGGAAAAGGCAAGGTTATGAGAGCCCGCCTCCCTCCTTCCCCATAGGGTGCCATTGTGGCCGTGACGGGAGACGGCGTCAACGATTCTCCGGCTTTGAAGAAAGCGGACATTGGGGTAGCCATGGGCATTGCCGGCTCTGACGTGTCCAAGCAGGCCGCGGACATGATCCTGCTGGACGACAACTTCGCGTCCATCGTGACGGGGGTGGAGGAAGGTAAGCGCCACGTGGGGAGGCGTCCTTGCCGCTGGCAGTCCATCCGTGGCTGCCCTTGGCGGCCCTGCTGTGTCGGGGGTGCCTGTCTCCACACCCAGCGGCCAAATCTTGCTTTCCTAGGTCGTCTGATCTTTGATAACTTGAAGAAATCCATCGCGTACACCCTGACCAGCAACATTCCAGAAATCACCCCCTTCCTGATATTTATTATTGCCAACATTCCGCTGCCGCTGGGAACGGTCACCATCCTGTGCATCGACTTGGGCACTGACATGGTGAGCAGACCCCTCGGGCCAGGCCAGGCCGGGCCCGTCTCCCAGGGTCACAGTTCAAAGCCAGCCCAGGTAGAAAAGTCTGTGAGACTTTGACCTCCCATTAAGCACCAAAACACGAGAAGTAGAAGTGTAGTTCAAGCGGTAGAGCACCAGCCTTGAGTAGAAGAGCTAAGGGACAGGGCCCAGGCCCCGAGTTCCAGCTTGGGACTGACACACAACACAAGAACATGCTGGCATGGAGCTGGGAAGGTGGCTCAGTGGTAAGAGCGCTTGCCTTGCATGCATGAGGCCCTGGGTTCGATTCCTCAGCACCACATAAGCAGAAAAAAAAAAGCCGGAAGTGGTGCTGTGGCTCAAGTGGTAGAGCACTAACCTTGAGCTGAAATGCTGAGGGACAGCACTCAGGCCCAGAGTTCAAGCACTACAACGAACAGCAACAACAACAAAAAGATTGGGGATAGGGGCTGGGAAGGTGGCTCAGTGGTAAGAGCGCTTGCCTTGCATGCATGAGGCCCTGGGTTCGATTCCTCAGCACCACATAAGCAGAAAAAAAAGCCGGAAGTGGCGCTGTGGCTCAAGTGGTAGAGCGCTAGCCTTGAGCTGAAGAGCTGAGGGACAGCGCCCAGGCCCAGAGTTCAGGCCTCACAACTGGACCAAAAAAAAAAAGAAAAGAAAAGAGCATGCTGGCATGCCAGGCAGCAGAGCATGCCCGCTTACCACCTCCAAATCGCTCGTTCTGCAGTTCTTCTTTTTAAATGGTGTCTATAACACAGTCTCATGAGATAAAACCAGTTTAAAGGGGGAGAGGTGGGAATTACATTATCAGAAGGTTCATTCACACAAGTAATCCTCCCTACTCAGGCTGAGATCTCAGGATTGTAGTTCAAAGCCAGTCTGGGCAGGAAAGTCCATTACTGAACAACTACCAAAAAAATCTCAATAAATACCATTTCCTCCCCGCCCCCAGGTTCCCGCCATCTCCCTTGCTTATGAGCAAGCCGAGAGCGACATCATGAAGAGACAGCCCAGAAATCCCAAGACTGACAAGCTTGTGAACGAGCGGCTGATCAGCATGGCCTACGGGCAGATCGGTGAGCCGCGGCCCGTGCAGGCAGCTTTAAGGGGACACGCGTGGACATGCCTGGCTTGGGGGGCGGGGGGCGTGCTGCTGGCACAGATCCAAGTTCTCCACCCTGTGAGAAGCCAGCTAATGCGGCTGCCTGCCCGCTGGCTTTTGCGCGCAGCTCCGCGTCTTTAGTCTCATGCTGACCTGCCGAACCCCAGGATTAGAGCACTAGGAAACTTGAGGCTTTAACAATTGGCATTTGGTGCCCACCAAAGTGCAGTCCTGCATCTTTAACAATTGGCATTTGGTGCCCACCAAAGTGCAGTCCTGCATGCAGCCTTGCCCACGCCTGCTCCTGCCGGGAGCAGTGCGGTGGGCAGATAAGGTACTGCCGCTGTGGCAGCGAGGGGCAGCCGCAGTTGCGGAGGTGACTCAGCACAGGGTTGCCGTCTGCAGTCATTGCTGGTGGCCTCGGGTGACCTCCAGGGAGACCTCTCGGTTGTGTAGATGAGATCTTGTCTCTGGGAACTCGGGGTGTTTCCCTCACATTGGATGCCGGAGGGGCAGGGATCCTGAAACTATGGGGGAAGCACCAGTGCCTTGGGGAGGAGCAAGATGGCAGCATGCGAAAACTCTGAGAACAGAGCTTGGAGTCTTTTAGATTAAAAGGAGAGAAGGTAGCCCACTGCTGGAGGCGTGCAGCCCACGCCTCTGTCATAGCTGCTTAGGAGGCTGAGATCTGAGGATTCAAGTTCAAAGGTAGCTGGGGCAGAAAAGCCTTTGTTGTCTCTGACGGATCAGCAAAGAGCTGGAAATGGAGCTGTGCTGAGGCTCAGGGGTGGACTACCAGCCTTGAACAAAATGCCAGGCCACAAGTGTGAGGCGCTGACTGGGTTCAAGCCCCAGGACCAGCACAGACACAAAGTCAGGCAGGCCGATTTCTCAGAAGGCTCGTGGCCTGATGAAGTGTGGGAAACGGTGTGTTCTAAGAGCAAGGTGCCTCTGTCTTTTAAGCTCTTAAAAAGGAACTCAAGAAGTAGAGCCTGCCTGGGGGTCTCCACGCCTCCCTCCCCTTCCCCTATCCCCCAGCCAGCGCCAGCGCCGCAGCCACTGATCAGGTGACGGGGCTTGGAAGGCCTTGCCAGGTACCACTCAGGAAGCCCCCATCTTTCCAGGCATGATCCAGGCCCTGGGCGGCTTCTTCACCTACTTCGTGATTTTGGCTGAGAACGGGTTTCTCCCGATTCACCTGCTGGGCATCCGGGTGGACTGGGATGACCGATGGATCAACGATGTGGAGGACAGCTATGGGCAGCAGTGGGTGAGTGATGGCCTGACCCCATGACCTGTGACCCAGGCCCAAGCTGCCCCTCCAGCTGCCCTCACCCCAAGATCTTGGCCGCCCCGCCCCCAGCCACGTCTGCCTTGCCTTTCAGACCTACGAGCAGAGAAAGATCGTGGAGTTCACCTGCCACACGGCGTTCTTCGTGAGCATTGTGGTGGTGCAATGGGCTGACCTGGTCATCTGTAAGACGCGGAGGAACTCCGTCTTCCAGCAGGGCATGAAGTAAGGGCCGGCGCCGCGCCCAGGGAGCTGCAGAGATGGTTAAGCAACACTGCCACACACCCCAAAAAAAAAAGTCACACACAAGGCCAAGTTTCCATAATTAGAAATTTGATTGGAAAAAATTGCATTCGCAGTCAGGTGTTGGTCTTGCTGTCATCCGAACTACTCAGGAGGCTGAGATCTGAGGATCCAGGCTCAAAACCAGTCGGGGCAGGAAAGTCTGTGAGACTCTTAGCTCCAGTGAATCCACCAAAAATCAGGAAGTGGTGTTATGGCTCAGGTGGTTGAGCGCTAGCTTTGAGCAGAAGGCTCAGGAACAGTGCCGGGCCTGGAGTTCAAGCTCCATGACCAGCACAAAAGAAGAAAAGCTAAACCTCTGTTTGTGCGTTGTTAGCTCCTTTCCCCGTTGTGTTTCAGGAACAAGATCTTGATATTTGGCCTCTTTGAGGAGACGGCCCTGGCGGCCTTCCTGTCCTACTGTCCCGGCATGGGTGTGGCGCTCAGGATGTACCCCCTCAAGTGAGTGGTCCTCGGGCCGTGGCGTGGGCGCACACGCTGTGCTTTCTGGGTGGTGTGTGCAGGGATCCCATGGCCGGGAACGGGAGGGAAGCTGGCTTGTGAGGGAGGCGGCCAGGCGAGCCCTGGTACTCACAGCCAGCGCCCAGCTGTCCTGGAGTCGGGGTCTGGTTCAGACCAGACTGTTTGGACTGCTGTGTCAGCCTCCACCGTCCCAGGCTCCGATTGCCTTCCCAAAGGAGGAAGGGTGTGAGGTCGCTCCGGCGCCCCTTTTCTTTGCTAGTTTAGTGGGACTTACTGGGAGCCCTTGGGTCATTGAGTGTGGTTAGGGTGGCGTCCACACTCCGTACCCCAAGTTGTCCATGAGCCTCACCGAGTGCCGTCCACACCTGTGTAGGGGTCCAGCAGTATTCCCTGCCTGTAGACGTGAGGACGCGTTTCTTTCTGGGTGCCTGACCCCCTCCCGCCCGGCTGTCCTGCCGTGCTGCCTGGGCGTCTCAGGGCCCTAGACTCCGCACTTCCCTGTCTCCATGGCGGGCCGGCGTGGCATGGCCATGCGTCTCTGTCCCCAGTGCCCCCTGCAGAGCAGGTTTGCACCAGACAGAAGATGTGACCAAGTTGAATATCATTGACCTTGCTTATCAAGGGATCACAAAGTCGCACAGGGCTCCGCTCCTGACCTCTGCTCCTCTGCTGTGTGAGGAGGAGGTTGAGTTGGGGACATAATGGTGTGGAAATAGGAGGAGCACAGCCAGTCCTCATGGAGCCCTGGGAACTGTCACCAGGTACGCGCCCGCCCGCCCGCCCGCCAGGGAGCCTGTCTCCAGGCTGGGGCCTCGGGGCTCATGCAGGTCTCGGCTGACGTTTGGGGCTCCGCTTTTTTCAGTTCCCGGGTCTGGGACTTGGAATACACAGCAGGCTGCCCCAAACGCCATTGCCAGAAACTAAGCTCAAGTGCTGCATGGCCAGCCTGGACCCACCCCGGCGGTACTCCCACCGGGAGCTGTGCCAGGACGCGAGACAGGCACCGAGAAGCCGAAGCACTTTCAGGCCAAGTGCTGGCGCTGCGGCCTGTAATCCTAGCTACTCAGGAAGCTGATAACTGAGGACATGGGTTCAAAGCCAACAGGGGCAGGAAAGGTCACAGAGCTGGAAGTGGAAGTATGGCTGAAGCGGTAGAGCACCAGGCCTGCGTTCAACCCAGTACTAGTCCCAAAAAAAAGAAAGATCTTAAGCACTTGAGAAAGGGAAGAAAGGAAATGTGCAGGCAGTCCACAGTTGGCACGTGTAATGTGCCCTCCTCCCTTGCAAGCCAGACGGGATGGATCACGCATCCCAGGCCTGCCAGCCCGAGAGGCAACCATCTGCCCCTAGACCCAGCGTGGACTGTGATGGGTGGTGAGCTCCCCACAGCATGTCTTTCTCTGGGTGGGCTTCGTGGATCTGAATCGGTGCCCGCCTCTCCCTGCAGGCCCACCTGGTGGTTCTGTGCCTTCCCCTACTCCCTCCTCATCTTCGTGTACGACGAAGTCCGGAAGCTCATCATCAGACGTCGCCCCGGGGGTAATTGGGTTGGGGCTGGAGGGGGGAGGAGAGGGTGCGAAATCTGGGCTCTCTGGGCTTTGGTTGGCTTTGCTCTTGGTGTCCGAGGCTGGTGTGAGTCAGACTGCCGGCCTTACCCAGGGTGGAGCATTGCACAGGTTGAGTTACAGGTCATATTGTAGATTTTAATATTCAGACCGGACAGTGTTGAGCCTCATCAGCACTTTAGTCATCTCAGAGAGGCGTCTCTCGCCTGTAATCCTAGCTGCTGGGAGGGCTGTGCTTCTAGGCCAGCCTGGGCAAAGAAAAGTCCAGGAGACTCTGATCTCCAGCCAAACGCTGGAAGTGGAGCTGTGGCTCCAGTGGTAGAGCTCTGGCCTTGTGTCAAAAGCCTAAGGGTCAGTGCTAGGGCTGAGTTCAAGGCCCCACAATGGCACCAAAAAGACAAACACAGACCATCTTCCCAGATAAAAGAGGGGTCCCGTGTTGAGTTTGGGGTAGCACCCACCCCACCCTGCCTTCTCCCCATGTTCACCCCCCTCCCGGGGTGCTGGGACTGGACCCTGATCCATGCCTCTTCTCTGCTGCCTACAGGCTGGGTGGAGAAAGAAACCTACTACTAGTCATGTCCTGCACGCCCGGAGCGCCGGGCCGCCCTCTGCATCCGCAACCCCTGTGCGCTCAGTCTGGGAACTCGGGATCACCCGGTCGGAGCACCGGAGCATGTGGGAGCTGGACGTCCGGGAATGCAGCATGTCACCGCAATGGGGGGCGGGGGGAGGGTGCCTGAAAAACAAATAAAACACCGGAGCCGGGAGCGACGAGAGCAGGGAAGGATCTCACGTGCCTTTTTGTTTTTGTAAAAAAGGAAAACCTGGGAAGGCTGAAAGAATACATTTTATATCTGGATTTTTACAATAAAGATGGTATCAGTGGAATTGGTCTGTGGTGCGGTGGATTTGTGGGTGGGAGGCCTCTGTCTCCCAGGGTGCGGTCGTTAAGGCAACCCCGCACCCGCATCCTCTAGCGGCCTGTTAGGGAGCCTCAGCCCTAAGCTTAATCAGCCCCCAGGGGAGGGACTCACCTGCACACCACCTTCCAGTCCAGTCCCTGGGGCGGGCTGGTGTCGTCCCTCTTCCTTCCCCGCTTCCTACCATGGGGACCCCGCACCTGCACTGGGTGAGGAGGCCCGGGTTTCTAGGTTAGCTCTTGTCCCTAAGCCATCCTTCCTGCACTTCTGCCGGCTTCTCCCAAGAACGGTGCCCACCGCCTGCTCCACTGGCACCTGTGTTTTCTCCAAAAATGCCAAAATCAGCCCTCAAGCACAGCGGGGCCGTCACGGGGCGCCCTCCTCTTCTGCCTCCGCCCACTTCCTGTCGTCTCCCTCCGTGCTCTGCTGTGATGGGCACAGCCTCCAGTGCTGTGGCGGCCGTGCCAAGGTAGGAGGCAGCAGAAGGAAGACTTTGGGGCTGTGGGGGCCGAGACTGACCTGACCGCAGACTGGAGTGAGGCTGTGTGCTAGAGGCCACAGGCCTCCTACCCAGCCCAGCCTCCGCCTCCCACACCTGGAGAGCTGACAAGTGCTGTCAGGGTGGTCACAGTTCTGGTATGAGGATCTGAAGCCTGAGGCCTTGAACCCTGGGGGGGGACTGTTGAGAGAGAGCTGCCCTTCTGGGATGTTCTAAGAAGCCCAGGGCTAGGAAACCACAGTGGGGAGATGGAGCCTCCAGCCCTTGTCTACCAGGACATTTCTGCCCTTTTCTGTTTGATGATCATTTATCTTGGGGGGAGAGGAGGATTGTAGTCAGGCAGATCCCACGGCTGTAATCCTAGCGATTCAGAAAGCTGCACTCTGAGGATCATGGTTCAAAGCCAGCCCGGGCAGTCAAACCCGAGACTCCAGTTAATCACCAAAAAGCTAGATGTGGAACTGTGCCTTTCAGTGAAAGTACTAGCCGCGAGCAAAGACTACAGGAAAGCACCCAAGCCTGAGCTGAAGCCAGTACTGGCGTGCACACACACACACACACACACACAGTGGAGGGGCTTGATGTCCCAGCTCATTAGTGGTAGGGGTGACTGCAGTGCTGCAGAGGCGGGGCGGGCGGGCGGGCAGGCAGAGGGCGAGAGCTGGGCCAGGACCTGGAGAAGGATGACGAGTTTGTGCCGAACAATGGCAGAGGTTGAGGCTGGTGTTCAGACAGAAGATCATGGAAAGTTTCCTGGAAGCGAAGCACAAGCCATTGGACATCTATGCAGATGAGTTTGCCCTCCGGAGCCGGGGACTGTCAGGCTGCAACTTGTAGAACAAGGAAGCAAGCCAACCCGTCCCAGGCTGCAAAGCCAGCACCGTGTCAGCCTAGGGCAGCGGCCACACGCCCATCAGTGCCAGGGCCGCCGGCACAGCTGGCAAGGTGGGCACAGGGAAACCTGCACTGTGCTCAGATGTCTCAGGGCTGTCCTCAGACCTGCCTTCAAACAGCAAAGATCCCTCTCCCCTTCCCAGCCCCTCTTCCCTTTCCTTCCTCTTCCTCCTTCCTCCTCCCCTGCCCTTGCCCCTCCCCTCATCTTCCCTCCTCTTCCTGAATCTAAGCACCCAATAGAGTTCATTTGTACTTAGAAAAGTAGAGCTTGTTGTTGATGATCTTAGGATTTGAACTAACGGCCTAGGCACTGAGCTCTTTTGCTCAGAGCCAGCACTCTCCTGTTTTGAGCCACAGTGCCACTGAAAGTAGAATTTTTTTAAAAGAGATTTCAGTAGTGAATGGACTAGAAATAGAATCCTCTTTAGTATGCATAATTGCTGGACACTGGACACCAGTGGCTCATTCATGTCATCCTAGCTACTCAGGAGGCTGAGATCTGAGGATCACAGGTCGAAACCAGCCTGGGTGGGAGAGTCTGTGAGACTCTTTATCTCCAATCAGCCAGCAAAAAGAAATAGAAATGTGTTTCAAGTGGTAGACACTATCCTTGAGTGAAAAAGCTCAGGAACAGCACCCAGGCCCTGAGTTGAAGCCCTAGTAATGGCGTCCAAAAAAAAAAAGGCGGTGTGGGGTAGAGTGGTTGCAGAAGCCCTCACCTGAGATGGAAAAACCTTGGTCTTTCCTCCACACGGAGCTGCCTCCCTCGAAGCCTCAGGGTGCAGAGGTATCTGCACTCCACCCTTGGGCCTCCACCCTGGGGAAGGAATGCATGCGGCTCCCTTGGGGGGGGGTGCAGGCCATGGGGACCTGGTGAGCCAGCCTGGGGAGGGGCCCCCCTTGGTGTGTGCTGAAATCACAAGGACCCTAGCATCCCCACGCTGCAGACTCCAGAGAAGCGCTGTCCAGCTTGGGATCGGCAGGAGGTCAGCCCCGCCGCCTGCGAGGAAGGAACCTGCCAGAAAACACTCCCAGGCTGCATCCCAGGCCCTGGGGAGACTGCAGGGACCGCGCAGCACACGAAGTCCAAGGACCCTGTCCCTCGAGGGAAGGGAGCACCCCGGGACGGAAGGGCCTGGGCCGTGAGACTGCGTGGAGCAGAGCCAGGGAATCCTGCTGGGACTCCACGCGTGCCACACTGGGGCGTGGCAAGGGGCTCCCATGCAGCCCGAGAGGACCAGGAAGGCAGATGCCAGGCCGGGCGGGGCGGCAGCCAGTGCCCATGTGCCAGCTCCCGGGCTGAATAATGTAGGGATCTTGCAAGCCCACTAACTGCTTTGGTAATGTGAAATTGGGAGAGGCCAGGGAGGCATGCCACGGGAGCCGCTATCCCTCACACACCCGTGGTTCTCCACCAGGGGGATTGCCGACAGGCAGCATGGTGCACAGGGGCAGTGACCTCAGGTTCACCACACAATCGCCGGCATCTAGTGGGCCTCCACAGGCCCCTGATATTTCAAGCCAGGGTCTGAGGGACAGAGGGAAGGGGAGGAGGATGGGGAGAGGGGCGGGGGAGGAGTCCTGTGGGTCATGAGGTCCAGAGGATGATTCTTTGTCAGGGTGGATTGAGACCTATTTGCAGGCTGTGTGGTGGCAGCCCCGGCAGAAGCCCCACATCACCTGTGTGAATCAACTGAGACAAACGCCCCCATGGGAGGAAAGTGGCAGAGGGTCCAGTCCAAGGCAGGCCCCTTCCGTGCGTGGATCTGTGGGGAGGTTGATCATGGCGGGAGGAGGTCTCGGAGGAAGCTGCTCCCCTCATGGAGGCCAGGAAGCAGCGGAGCTGCCCTAAGGCTGGCATGGCCTCCTCCGCCTCCTCCTCCTCTTGCGTCTTCCCTTCTATTCCACTGGCCCCCAGCCTATGAAACGGTGCCATTCACATTCAACGTGGGTCTTCACATGCACATGTGCCCACGCATGTGCACACAACAGCTTCAGAGACACACTGAAACCCCACTGTACTAATCCAGCCGCCTCTCACCCAGTCAGGTGGACAACAGAGGAGTTCAGCCCTTCTCCAAGTTGTGACAGTGGACGTTGTCCCCAGACATTCCAAAGCTCTAACAGAAAGCAAAATAACCATAGTCCTGTTCCACATGCTCTTGCAGCATGGGTATTGTTTTGTGTTTGAGTGTGTGTGTGTGTGTGTGTGTGTGTGGTTATACATGTGTGTGCTGGTATTGGGGCTTGCTCAAGTCTGGTGCTCTACCACTTAAGCCACACCTCCATTTCCAGCTTTATTTTAAATTGGAGAGGCGAGGCTCTTGGATTCACATGGGCCCAAACAGCACCTGGCTTTTTAGTACCCACTACATTAATTCCACCAGCTGCTGACAGTCAGGAGCACGGTTTGGAAAGTGCTCCTTTAAGTCTGCAATGTGGGAAGCAAGCAGAGGAAGCACCAGCCTTGCTTCAGCCCAGGAAGGAGTGGAGGCCAGCCAGGAGAGGCTGTCTAGGCTGGAAGCGCACAAGGGCCCTGGGTGGTGGGTCTGGGCCCATCAGATACCTCCCTCCCCCGGGGACGAGCACAGAGCAAGCCTTGATAAGCCTTTGTGGCCTCCTCCCACAGCTCTCCCAGGATGCCTTTCTGCTACCCTGTTCTGTGCCCAGGAGACCAGACCTGTGAGCTCATACCACAGGGCCCTGGGGAGGCCATGGGCCTCGAGTCTGCTAATGAGAGATGGCCGGGAGGATTACATGTCCTGGCCTGGCAGCGGGGCTGGCTCTATACTCAACATCCCACGCCTCTCAGGCTGAGGGCTCAACCGGCTGAGCCCCCAGATGGAGTAGACACCCAGACCCTTTGCTTTCTGGTGCGGGGTCTGTGTGTTAAGTCTTAGCGAGGCTGGATGTGGTCCACAGCCTGGCACACCCCAGCTTCTCAAGGTCAGCCTGACCTCAGCATTCATCTTTGGAAAGGTCTTTCCTGCTGCCCCAGGCCTTGGGGCGGTTACATAACACCAGGAGCCCCTGGAAATGTGGGCATATGGCACCCTGGATTCCAGGCACAGGCAGGCTGCAGCCCGTTTGCAGCTGTGTGCGCACACACGCACACACACACACACACACACACACACCAGCTGGTGACCACATTTCTGCTGCACTATTTCACTGCATCTGGAGTCACATAAGGGCCACTGCATGTGACATTCCCACCCCAGTCACCGGTGAAGGACAGGAGCGGGCATTTCCTGTGTGTCGGGGCTGAGTCTTCTGCCCCGGCGGTGAGGCTTGCACTGAAGGGAAAATACGCTCCCCAGAAAGGGTGTGTGTGTGCACATGCGTGTCAGTCCTGGGGCTTCAACTTGGCCTCACACTCTTGCTTAGCTTTCTCTCTCAAAGCTGGCACTTTACCGCTTGAGCCTCAATTCTACTTTCAGCTTTTGAGTGGTTAATTGGAAGTAAGTCTCTCAGGCTTGTCTGCCAG